GTAGCTGAATTTGCGTATCTTAAATCGACTCCCCCCTGTAGTGTAGATGTAGCCTTAGAAAGCTTTAGTGTGCATGTCAACAACCATCCCAAGCAAACAGTTCTTTTTCAAGTATTGAGCTAACATCACCAACTCAGGACCATATCCTCATCCGGTCCTCCATTAATGTCAATGGAGCTACATCAATATTCAGCAGTTGAGGATCTGGCCCTCAGGTTTGTGGACTGAGATTTGAATTTAAGATCTGAAGCAACGAGGAGGAGGAGGGAGACTATGAGCGTGTGGAGAAGATAAACTTATCAGAGAACTTCATTTACTGATAAATCAGCCTGTTTTCTCTTTAATGGGATCACTTCCACAGATCCCATCTGTTATCAACAGTAAAGCAACACAGTGAGAGAATGGACACGGATGATCTGAATTGCTCTGTGGAAGAAAGTGTCCATGCCAGGCAGCAATGCTTACAGAAAGCAGAAAGGGAGAGTTTAAGTAGCAGGTCTCCTGATTCAAAGTGGCTATGAAAATTCAAATAATAAATAACAATAGTAAGAGAGATGACATCTCACATGAACAGCAGACCACAATTTGGGAATGTAGGCTACAAATAGCAGATCCAATTGATGAAAAAATAACAGGTTTAGGGTGAGGCTGAAGTCTCTTTTTATTTTATGAAGAATGACTTCACCAATGGACAAATGATGTCAGGGAAAGAAAGCAGATAAAGGGCTTAATTGTGCCTTATCGGGGAGGGCACTGCAGAGCCACACTGCCCCAGAGAGAACACTCGAGAGGCATTCTGCCTGAGAGAAAACATTCTTCCTGTGTGTACAGAGATAGCTGCTATACACGCTATAGGGAGCTCCCCTTGTCAGTGTGCAGGGATACAGTCATGATCCTGCCTAGTCCCTGTAACCTCTGGGACAGCATGTACACTGCAAGTAAGGATGGAGCAATCTTATCACTCCCCTACGCACAGGAAGTGCAATTTAGGTTGGGCCTTGCCAGGGTAGTGGAAGAATGGGGAGAGGATATTTGTGGCCTCACCCACATTGTGCACTCACATAAAGCTGGGCAGAATTTGCCCTTTAATTTTGAGATGATTTTGTTGGAACTCCAAAACCTCCTTGGTAAAGAATCTGGAAGGAAGAGAGGAAAAAAATAAGAAATAGTGTCACGATCTCTTGATAACATGCAATAATCTAATGGAACAAGATGAACTAAGGTAGCGTTTTCCTTACAAGAAAGGCTGCATGACAGCAGTTAACGCAGAAGCCTGAAAGGAGGAAAATATAGTAACTCAGGATGAAAGTTAGTTCCCAAGGAAGGGTTAGACACCTGACTAATAAATGAATATGGAGAAGCTCTCTCATGAAAGTTACTGTGAGATACAAGAAAGGAGCAGTCACTGAATGTGGAAAGCCAACAACTACTGTAGAAACACATATTGCTACTCAAAATCCAGACTGAGCTACGGTTAGAAGATAACTAAGAATGACATTTTCATAAGTGCTAAATTCACCTAGGAGTTACACAACACACTGACACAAAATTAAACTCTCTTCATTCAAGTTAGCTGTGTGAATGAGATGAAGGAAATATCAAGTCTAGAATTTTAAAAGAAATCCATGTCAGAAAATGAATTCTTGGAAGAAAAGTTTCATACAGGTTTGAATCAAACAATCCATGTTCCGGTTAAGGAAATCTCCCAAATCACGGCTGTAAAAGCATGACCCTGAGTATGAATTAAAGCCTTTTCTGCAAAAGCCAGATAACAGTGTTTAACAGCTGTGGTTAAGCAGGTCTTAAAAATGGTTGTGGCTGAACTGGGCTATAAGCCAGTTTGGCCAGCCAGTGTAGACTGCACCCAATTATACTAAAACTAGGTTAAAACACATGTTCTAGCCACAACCTCTAAACTTTCTGTAAGATTCCTCCAAGGGATGCTACAAAACCAACTTCTGTTTTATGTTCCAAATCATTAGTCAATGCAATAGCATGTAATAGTGGGTATTAAATACTCTTAACATAAACCAAATGAGTGTCATTAGCTCTCCAACACTTTTTCCAATAAAATAGTTTATGTGAAGCTGTGTAAGTTAAGCATCTCCATGACAATTTTCAAAACACATTTAATATTGGGGAGATGAATAATGAAGATAAATAAGTGCAAAGTAATTTTGTTTTGAAAATTAACCTCTGTTAATGGGTATGAGGAACAAGAACAACTCTGCTATTAATCCTGAAAGAGACTCTGAAAGGTCTCCCAAGACTGTCTCCCAAGACAAAATCATTTGTGAATGAGACACAAGGACAGCTTTCTGCAGTGCATTTCTGCAGTGCAGTATGACACAAGTTATTGCACTCAGAGCTATATTAATACAGTAGTGTTTACAGTTTAGTAGTGTAGTCCTGTTTGCATCTCAGTTTTCAAACAAACAAGAGAAAACATCAAGTTACTTCAGAATACACCATCAGCTTTTACCTATCGCAGATCAAAGTTCTTTGGGGGAAAGAAAGGGCGACACTGGTGGTGTTCACTATTCCAGAAATGGACTTTAAAGAAAAAAAATCTCTAGCCTGTACCAACTCTCCTGGTCTTAGTTCTATTGGGGCAGAGGGCGGGACGAAGAAGAAGATTCTCTCACAGCTGTGAACAGCAACTAAACTACTTCATGCCCACCACTGCAATCTCAAAGCTACAATCTCTGCAGCACAAACTCCCTTAAGAAGGCCCAGTAGATCCGTGTAGCCAGGGATCAACTAGCAAACCTCCTACTCCTCCCCTGTGCGCTGGGGCACAGTGTGCTTCCAGGAAGATTGGCTTTGTAAGGCACAAGAGGTTCACGCCCATGGCATGGAGCCCAGCCCTACTCCAGCCCTGGGGAACCATGCAAGTCCCATGCAGGCAGGCCACTCCAGCTCCTCAAAGGAGTGTGTGGGGAAGAATTTGCCTTTATGTCACCTAATACAATACACATTATTCCTATATTTAAATCTGAGGTTCTATGAAGAGCAGCAAGGCCACCTAATCTCACATAGGTGCCCGGAGGCCACAAGTTGCATGTTTACAACCATTTGGGCTATGGCAAGACTAGACAGTGGTATCATATGCTGGCTTCGATTATGAAACAGCTTCTTAAAAAGTAAACATAGAAATAAAAACTTTTGATGGTGAAAGAAAATGAAGAGATTGGTCTTTTGGCACTGAAGATCCTGGTCTAATATCAGCATTGCACTGACTTTTTAGTAACCCTCCATATTCTCTTCCTTTGCGGATTCCAATTTTATGATTAAACACTGAATAAAGGCTGCATTCTGTAAGGATATGTCATTTAAAAGAAAGTGAAGACAAAGTAAACAAGAATTCACTTCCAGGGTTCTCACCGCTGCATGCCAAAAACCTATTAGCCCTTCCACCCCCTCCACTTCTTTATCACTGAAAGTGTGCCTCCTCCACACAGCTACCCGCAGCGGAAAGAGTGAATTCAGACCATTTCTTGCATGACTGCGGTATCGTTACTGCGGAGTGCTGGAAGCAGTAGAAAGCACTGCTGCTTGCTGCTCCACCACAATGAAAATCAAAACATTGCAGCCCACCACATTTACTTTAATATTCAACTATACAACGGACAGAAATCCCTTGCTGTCTCTAAAACATAAAAGGCCACAGAGCAAGAACCTCCCCGATACAGTTTAACAGATGGAACCACTGTACGAGGCTGCAAAATTCAACGTTCTAATTCTCTCTGTTAATTCAGTTAGGGTGGCATAAATAACCCATGCATATGTGCCGGGGATGTAAAGCTCTGAAATATACACACAACTTTCCTTTTTTTAGTCTACAACACTTCTGTAAATTTCCCAGGACTTCAGTAATACCACTGACTCTAGCCTAGCACCGCCTTTATATTTGAATAAGAACTGTCATGTATTAATATTAAGCATGTATTAGCATTGTTAGCATGTATTCTGTATGTATTAAGTATTATGAAGCCGAATGACCCAGTCTGGAGACGGGGGGGGGGGGGGGGAGGAACAAAAAACACCCTAGGGTGAAGTTTTCAAAAGTGACTTGTGATTCTGGGTGCCTCAATTTTTGGGTGCCTGACTTGCAATACTTGAAAGGGGCCTGATTTTCAGAAAGTGGGCTCAGCACTTTCTGAAAGCTAAGTCCCTTTATGGTATCTCAATTTTGGACACCTGAAGTTTGAAGCACCAACAATAATAATAATCACAAGTCACTTTTAAAAATCTTGTCTTTTCAGAAGACACCAGAAAGACAACAAGAACATAACATAAGAACGGCCATACTGGGTCAGACCAAAGGTCCATCTAGCCCAGTATCCTGTCTACCGACAGTGGCCAATGCCAGGTGCCCGAGAGGGAGTGGACCAACAGGCAAAGATCAAGTGATCTCTCTCCTGCCATCCATCTCCATCCTCTGACAAACAGAGGCTAGGGACACCATTCCTTACCCATCCTGGCTAATAGCCATTAATGGACTTAACCACCATGAATTTATCCAGTTCTCTTTTAAACAGACCAAGGAATACAAGGAATATAAGTGTTTGCCTGTAATACATGGTAGCGCCCAGTGATAAGACAGTTATTGCTTTTGTGCTGATAGCTGGTTTGGGAGTTAGGATGCTGAGTGAGAGGAATCATATAAAGGCAGACTGGGAAGTGAGAAGAGTGAGGCTAGAGAAACTATGAGATGTATGAACAGAGCCAATAAACCAAAGCCATACCCGCTGTAACTACTGAAATCAGTGAAGTTACACCAGGGGTGAATTTGGCTCAGTGAGTTTTTCTTGTAGTGAATAAGAGAGAGTTTTCTTGTAAAATGGGTAATTGAGTCTGTTCTTGCTGAACCATACACACCTAAGAGCTCAGTCATTACATACACTGGCATAAATTAAATAAATACCACAGAGAAGGCCACAAGTCCAGTTGCCTTTGATAACTCATTCCCGGAAGACTGAGTGTCACTGATTAAAAATTTAGTGGATCTGGGTCAGAGATGAGAGATTAAGTTAAAGAAAATACAAACTAATTAACTCAGCCAGCTAAATCCTATTATAGGCCCATGTCAAAGTCAAGGCTGATCTAGAAAGCTACCTGCTTGGTTTGGAAAAGTGTAGCAATCTCCACACACAAACTCTAATGGCAGGTTGGGTATTGGACCTGTTCCTCCCCTGAGAAAAATTAATGTCTTCTCTCAAAAATGAGACACTGTTTTTATTTGGCCTTTTTTCCAGTTTAAAAACAAACAGGCCTTACTCGTTGAGCCTGTATTTTAAAGTGTTTTGTGGTTTTTGGTTTTTTTAAAGAAACACAACCTAGAAATGAATTAATTTGCATCAATGACATCTACAAATCTCACAATTTAAATGGTTACAACTTTAGAGCCTTGGGTGCTGAGCTATTTATATAATAAGATACACATGCATGTGTATATTTTAACTAAAATAATTAAACTGGAGCAAAATATAGATCTCCAAACATAGTGGTGATAAAAGCATCTCTGACTACTGAGAGCTATCAAGGCAGGCCAAGGAATAGGGAATTAGAGGAACGCACAAAAAGTTATTAAAATAATAGGAGCAATTAGTTATAAATACTGATCCTGCAGAAGTAAATGGGAAGTGACTTGGCCAGGATTTGACCCTGCAAATGTAAACTGTCTTTAAACTGGTGTGGCAGCCACTGCTGGAATTGCTACTAAATGTTCTAACTGTAAACAACTAACATGTTATTTCCACCATGAATGTGAATGTTTTCCTCCTCTCTGGATAATGACAAGACAGCTATTTCTAATTAAAGTTTAGCAATGTGTCTCTTCTTATTTTGCTACCTCCATCTGACAATTCACACAAGTACTTTCATATACTCTTTGAAGTTTAGGGTGGGGTTGTTTTTTTCCAAGTGCTGGATTTTATGTCTCAGTCATCCTAAATTCAACTGCAGTGCTTCCAAGATAAATGAATAAAGCAAGAAAAAACTGCACATGCATCTTAAATAATATGCATGTTCTCATTTCCTGTTTTGATTTTCAAATACATGTTCCTTGTCTTACCCTCGTCCGTGGGCACAATAAGTCATTTGTATTGGACAAAATAAGTCATCGGGGTTTTTGTTTTTGTTTTGTCACCTAGAGTAGAATAATCTCAAATATAAAAGATTTCTCAAAAGTAACACAGCACCTGAGCAGTATAATTACAGTAAAAAACCTCCAACAGCCAGATTTTCAGTTAATGAAAATCAATGGAGCTATGTTGATTTATACCAGCTGGGTATCTGACCCTCAAGCATAATTGTCATGATATTATACATATTTCAAAGAACAAAAACAGGAATTTGTCTCTAGAGTTTCTTACTAGCTTATAAACAACTATTACTCAAGGACACATTTTACAACAAGCATCAAATGAATTCAGTTAGTTGTATCTAAAATATTTTACCTCTTCATAACTTTAAGTTCAGTGTATAAGTGAACATGTACATTGACACCGTCAAGAAAACATGAGTAAAAAAGCCTAGCAGCATCTGGGAACAGCTGCTATTTTGCTGAAAAGGCAGCAATATAAACAGTGATGTTTATTAGAGAAAAGAGACTCTGACCAAAATCAGGTTATAATTAACCACTTCACTGCCTGTGAAGGTATACCATTGCCAAAATGTTCAACAGTGGTCATTTATTTTGGGTTCCTCCATTTTTGAATGCCAAGCCTGAGACAACTTCGGACTGATTTTCCAAAGTGTTGAGTACTCACAGCTCCTCTGGAAGTCAGCATGAGCATCAGAGGTGTGAGCAGCACCTCTGAAGTTCATGACCAACATGTCTCAAGCTGGGCACACAAAATATGAGGCATCCAAAAATCAGTGTTCACTTCACTGTCTGTGAAAATATAGCATGAGTCCCCCCCTCTCCCCAATTTTTTTTTCATACTTGTGAGTCTGTAGGAGCAAGACCCTAATTAACTTTGATCCTGTAAACATTTTACATACAAGTTATTCATGAGCATAAAGTTACTCACGTGTGCAAGTGTTTGCAGAATCATGCTTTTGGATGTAAATCATACTTCACTATTCATTTATTCAGTCGTGTGTTTAGATTGATAAGAAGACATGCATGGGTTAAATAAACTCAAAAAGGCTTTTTCATCACCTACTGTTCAAACAAGGTAGAGCCGTGTACCAGACCTCTCTGTAGAAATTAATAATTCCATTTTTTTTAGAACTGTAGAAGATTAATCTCAGGGGGAAGAGAATAGCCTTGTGACAGTTTGGGGAATATGTTTGGATCAACATATAAATCCCCAATATCATTTATGGTTGTAACAGCCATTGTGAATTAGATCATCCATTTGGTGGCCCTGGCATGTAGTGAACAAACTATGTCTGGAGAAGTAAAATAGGGCCATCAACAACTGAATAGCTTTGCCCTGAATGGCCAATGGAGGTTGTTACAAGCAGAACCACTGAGTTTTAAAAACTCTTTGCCTAGCAAGCCTTGGGAGATTGGGGCACAGAAAATCCCTGGCACAAGGACAGAAAAAGAAAAGATGTTACAGATTGCTTTTTTAAAAGAGATGAGCACTTTGGGCAAGACAGTCAGCCTGTCACAAGAAATAGAGGACACAGGTGGAAAAGTGGGCACAGAACGGGCTTTCCCTTCCCCCAAAGAAACTGACCAAAACCCTAAAAACTCTCTGAAGCAGTGAGGACTCTGGCCTCTGGGGGGGCAGGAGAGGAATTTCATTCATGTGTTTATTGTTTTGCCTACATCTGTAATTCTGCTGTGCTGTCTATGAGTAAAGTATTTGTGTTTAAGAAGTTCCTTTATAAAGTCTGTGTTCCCTACTTTAACTGACATGTGTCTCCAAAGAGTTAAACTATAAACTAGAGCTATGAGGAAACCATGCACAGACAGAAGGGGAGTTTCAGCACTGGTCTTGAGGCTGAGGGCAACTACACTGAGGAGTCCCACATCCCAAGAAGAGGGCCAGACAGGGAGTCTGCATGCCAGGAGCATGCCCTAAAGGCTCAGTCAGACAGTGACTGGACTCTATCCAGACCCAGATGGCTGGAAAGCACGTTGGATTCAAATGTTGGGTCTAATTATAACAGCCTGGTGACCACCCGCTGAGGGGGTTGGAGGAGGGAGGGTTCCAGCCAGGGCTATAACAAATCTCACCTATTCCATGAAGTACAGAGACAGTTAGTGAGGTATCATCTTCAAATGAGGTGAATGCCTGCAGAAGCATTGCTGCAGTCTCCTGATTCACAGCATTCCTGGCTTCTGGCCTGTTAATCCCAATTGTCATGATGGTTCCATGTCTTTCAGTGACTACATTCTTCTTCCCTGCGTGGGGGAGAAGAAAAACAATCAGCGTAAAAATGTACTTACATTCTTTTTAGTAAGTCATTAATATATTAAAAAAGGGATCTGAAAGGCTTAAAATGTTATTATTATTAGACGACAGAGACATTTAAAATAAACAGAGGTAAATCCAACATATTATTTTTACCACTTACATCATTCCTTCATGAACATTTTTAAACATTTTAATATACAGTATCTTTGCCAGGCTTGTATTTAAGCAACAGTAAATAAGGACAGAAGATATTTCCCGAGAATTAATAACAAAGACCAGCTGTGAAGAGCGGATGGTTTCAAACACAGCTGGGGCATCACTCTTCTGGGTGAAATGCGCTGTGATGTCATTGTTATTGCTAAAAAATGAAGGAAAAAAGTTATTTTTAAATGCAAGAAGTAGTTTCAACTGGTATTGGAGGTACAAGAAATTTCTACAGAATTAATGTTAAGCAAAGCAGGCAATCAGGTTGCTTAAAACAGCCCTCAGTAACCCATTTTACAATAAACATTAACTTCTAACAGGATTAATTTTGAAAGTAGTAAATAATCATATTTACCTTAAGATACAGTAACTCTCTCTTTCTACCAAAATAGAAAACCAAGGGGTCCAATTCTGGTCTCAGTGTAAGAAGTTGGATTTACTCTCTGGGGTTTCTTACTAAGTGTGCGTACTGTACCCAGTACAACGGGGTCTCAGTCGTAGCTGGGGATTCTAGGCACTGCATGAATTTACAAGGAGATATTCCAGAACAGCAGCAATGAAACTAAGAGCAGAATTTGGCCCAGTACCTGTAATTTTACATATATTCTAAATGTTTTCATCGTACATAATTGAAAATGTGACAGTTTTTCCTTTAAAGCAGTAGTAGTCTATAGGGACCTGAAGTCTGAAGTCCAGAAAAAAAAAAAGAAAAAAAAAAACCGTGTGACAGATTCTCAGCTGGTGTAAATTGGCCTCATTTCCCTGGTCTCGATAGAACAAATCCGATTTACAAAAGCTGGAGATCTGGCCCAGTTATTCACTTCTCATGGGACAGTCAGGAAGACCTTTATAACTGAGAGATCACATTTTTCCATGTTCCACACTACCACAGCTGTAATTTGCAGAGGTTCTTCCACGTAAAGGAGAAAGGGGCGGGGTCTCCCAGCAGGATATTTGCTGTGAGGAGCCCTCAGCTTTGGAACCCAATTCCCCCATTGGTTCAAAACAACCTGAATCTGTGAACAGTCAGGGCATACTGCATAGTTATCTGTTTACACAAGTTTGGGGGGATATAAGGGATGATGTTTGTGCAGGAAGGGGCACTCGGAGGACTTTATTTTATTACTATTTGGGGTGCAGGAGAAGCTGTTGGCTATGCTTCTAAAGTTATTTTAAGCTATTGGCATAGGCTCCTAGAGTCCAGGATAGGTGTTATACATTTTACATTGAAAGAAATAAGAACTGCTGTTGGATCGGCTAGAGACAGATAGTTTTTACTAACCTCAGATGCATCCACTCAGGATGCATTTATTTGTTTGACATATGTGATCTGATTGATTAATATTGCTCTAGATCTCAATATTGCTCACCGCTGAGGAGCCTAGACAGCAGAAGTCTACTAACTCATCACATCACTGTTTTAGCCAATTATGAGCCAGGATTTTTCCCTTGGGATGTAACAACAGCAATAAGACACTCCACTTCCAAGGGAGTGTTACATCTGTAGGGTGATTAAAGTAAAATCAGCCTTTATTCTCACTGTTTATGAAACATATTTATGGCAGTCTACAGCCACCCCAAACTGCAGATAGCATTTAATTTTAAATGCATGTTCATCCATCTATACTTCTAAAGCTTGACCCTTTCTGAGTGAAATTCAACTGGGTGATGAGTCGGCACAAATCCTCTGACCCATACAAATCCCACTTAAGGTCTCAGAACAGGACTTCACCCTTCATGAAGCACAGGGGTTGGAGAAGAGAGCAGAATGGGGCTTTAGAATCAAGAAATTCACTGCTATTCAAAAATGAAACAGCAAGCTAGTGACAGGGCTCAGTCAGTAGAGCACTACATCCAATGGCAGTTCTTTAAGACTGCCGCACCCTTAATTAAAAAAAAAAAGAAGCAGCAGCAGCTTGAGTCACCTGCTGTATAATTTACCATTTTTTCATCAGTTTCATTTTGTCCAGTGCAGGGTGAAGACTTCTCTCTAGGCAAAGCATCTATCTCGTGAAGGAAACATAAGCAGAGGTCCTGCGTCATCACTTCTCCAACTAGGATGCTATCCTTTAGTCTCCATTCTGTTGTATGCATCTTCCGGTCAGATTCACTGGTACACTCACCAGCTTTGTGCCACTCTGATGACACAAGGGGGCCAGACACCTGGCTGAAGTGGGTTATCAGCTGCTCTGCAAGGGGGCAAAGCAGGCAGAGGGTAACACCAAATCTGAACCATTGTCTTCAGCTTAGGGTACGGCGGTTTTTCATGCTGAGGTCAAATTTCCAACAAAAGAAATGGAATGTCATCAAGACACATGAAAACTTGGGGTCCCCAAATAATCAAGAATTCCTATTTTGGTTTTCAAGTTTAATAAATAAACTGTCCAGAGCCCCCTATAAATCAGCTTAGACTCTGCAGCTCCCACACTGGGACACATTACTCAGAATTTAATGCTGATCCTTCCTAAATGGTCATTTGATAGGACCCAAAAGCCTCTCGAAGCGAAGGGAGTTATTATCGATCAGCGCGTAAACCGTGGCATGGCATTTACTAAGGGCCATGGGGTGAGGGGCCTCCTAAAAACCACGCAGGCTCCGAGACGGCTTGTAATCTAGCAACGTGGTCGCGACTGCAGGCGCGAAGCCGCAGGGAGGGTCCGGCTGGCGGCTCTCGCACTGCAGCGAAGGGCACGGGGTGGCTTTGCCGCTCCCATGCGCGGGAGGGACGGCAGGCGAGTCGCTTCCACATCGCACGCTCCAGTGTGCAGCAGCAGCCGCCTCGCTGAACCTCCCTCCCTCCACCCCGTAAGTGTTGTCCCGTCAGCAGCCCAGTGAGCATTGCCCTCTGCCGGGGACGCAGAGACACAAACCTTCGTGTCCCGGTGTCCCTGCTCCTGCTGCAGCCGAGGAGGAGGAGGAAGAGGTCTCCCTAGCAGAGGCACCTGCTGCTGTTGCCATCTGGTTCCTGCCCAGGGCCCAGCTGAAGAGGAGGCGCGCAGGGTTGCGCATGAGCTGCCTGGACATCCCCCCCAGCGCGGGCAGCAGCACGATTCCGAAGCCGGGCTCCGCGCACCGCTGGCCCCGGCCACTCGGATGGTGCCAGCGCGCAAGGCGCGGCGCAGCGAGACCCAGCTGTGACACCACGCACTGACCAGCTCCCTCGTGGGCTGAGCGGCTGTTGATCTCTGCTCTCTTTCAAAATGGCCACGGTCCCGTTGTTCCCTCCCCCTCCCATTTGTCTCGTCACCACTGAAGCCGCAATCCGGCCTGAGAGAAGATAGCCACCTCTTCAGCTGTCAGGGGGCGCGGAGGGTCATTGTGGAGGCAGCTGCAAATGGAGCCAGTAGGTGCTGATCTCTGGCATGTAATGGGGTATCGACCATTGTTAGCCCCTGGACCCAGATCATGAGATCGTCTTTGGGCCAGGAAATACAGAGTCCAGTCTTCTACTGGGTGTGCCAGACCTTATTCCAGCCCCGCTGAGAGCAGGGGAATGTGCTCCCTGTCAATATCCCCGGCAGAACTGCCCCCTGTTGCTGCTTTAGGTGCCATCTTTGTACTAAGCACTATAACAACTGCATGACACTACATTGGTGGCAGTGAGGCTTCATGAACTCTAGGGAAAGTGACTGGGATTAAATATTAATCTTTGCAAATCAGACAGACATTGCTGGTTTTTAATCTCTGTTTGTATTGTCCTCTGACACCTTTACTTGATGAAGGGGTTATGTCACTTTAATTATACCAGGAAAGCTAAAGCAGTGCAACCCCACCCTCTATTGTAGACACAATTATTCCAGTATACTATTTCCTCTCCTAGAAGAGAAATAAGCCGTAGCAGTAAAACAGCATCTTTGTACCACTATAATTAGGAGTTTGTCTTTGTACTGCAACACTAGGAGTAGTATCACTATTCCAGCATTGGTGCTGGAACAATTTTTATAGTGGGGGTGCTGAGATCCATTGAACCAAACTGTAAATCCTATATATGATGGAAACCACTTCAACACAGGGGGTATGGCGGCACCCCTAGTTCCAGCACCTAAGTTAATTCCAGTAAAAATCACACTCCTAACACATGTAGTTATCCTGATTCAAAATTTGTGCATAGACCAGACCAAAATTGTGTTTTGACAAGTGCAAGGCATAGGAGAAGATTTAATCAGGTATCTAGCTGACTTCAGCTGCACCAGTATGCCCTGTAAATTACTCATGAAATACAGTTCGTTCAAATAATTACATGTAACAGTTGGGAGTAAGGGATTTTGATGTGTATCTGTCTGTAATCACTAAGCTCGTTCGAAGTGACATACTTTTTCAAGAGCGCACTGCACACACACTCATTGCAGTGAAACAGGTCAAAAACAGGAAATTGGTAATATTAAAAAAACTATGTAACACTTGCCAGGCAAAAATTGTATGCTACCTTCATGTCTTCTCTAAGAGCAGCAACATAGTCCTCAAACACTGTAAATTTGAAACTTTGTGGCAATGTTCTTGCACACTGGATGTTAATCGCATATCTCTATTTTCTGTTTAACTCCGAGTTTTGTAATGGCATTAACCCTGAGCACTCATACCCATTGTGATCATTTTCCATACTTTCCATTTCTGATCAGCTGTTAAATTGATCGAGTCAGCCTCTCCATACTACTCATGTCTGCATCAGTCATTCAACTACTAGTTCCATTACAGTCTATAGGTAG